CTAAAAAACGGGACGCAGACAAGTCGGGTCGGGTCCGTAACTCTTTCCTTCTCTCCAAACTTGGTCGGGTCGGGTCTTTCATTGTTTTTTTTGTTTTTGCAATTATCAACGATTCATTAAAATTTTAGTGTCACATTATCGCCAACGATTACAAAACAAACACGCTTTAGTCGCCAACGATTCACTTATCGTTAGTCACCACGATAAGTCATCAAGGACTACGAAATTTGGTTTGTGTTTTGTGACTACTAGTAGGATAACTAGATTGATTAGCTAACGAACTTATCAAGAGGCTCTAGAGATAATAAACTCACCAACTTATTGGAACAAAAAAATTGTTCAAGGGATCCATGATTACACACAATCCAATCAATATTTGACTTAAAGCCAAATCGTCACTAAAACCTTCCACTTTGTTTAAAAGACAGTAGTAGACTCTGCTTTTATGATTTAAGGTGGTGGTTAATGCTTCTTCAGAGCATTCATCTTGTCCCTGAGGTAATAAAGTTTCGCTCTTCTTACTCTCTTCTTGTCCAACACCTTAATCTCCCTCAGGTTTGGAGAATACCTGTCACCAAACACCCCCACTCACATCACTTGAAGGAACCTTGCTAATAATGCTACCAAGCTCTAATCGTAAATCAATCTTTTGCCTTAAGCACGAGGTTGAAGTAACTTACAAGAGGAACATGGATTCCACGCCAACTCCAGCCACGAGCCTTCTAATCCTAAAGGTTGAGTTAAGACCAGCATTACGCCTTGCTATGACGATGCCTTTTACGATTGATACACGTCTCTTGTTCTCAGGCACTTCCTGTTCAAACAAGGGAAACCCAATTAAGAAAATGCAAGCTTTTTAAACTAGAAGATATCTTGATCTCATTCCCCAAGGAAAAGAAGAAGAAAAATCTAGGGAAACTACAATTGTAATTACCACTTTTAGTTGCACAATGTAACCGGGCCTTATATCCGGTATCTCTCTATGAGTTCTCACTTCCTCAACTGCCTCCTTGTCTATAATCTGCAGAGGATGGTAACATCATAGGTAAACATGACATGATTTATCCATGACAATGATCATAGTACTGAGTTGTACCTGCATTATATGCTTGGCGGTTTTATCAAGCCGCTTGAACTTGATTCTCTGAGGCACATCAGAAGCTGACTCAGGGGATGCTTGAAGAGTAGATTGAACAGAATCTCCAATGGTGGAAAAGCACCTCGATGAATACGTAAAGTTTTGTTTCTGCCAAGCATTATAGATTCAGAGAGTGTTTAAAAAACACTTAGAAGCCTAATCTAGATATCACTGTGACACAAACATCCAGAAAACCTATAAAGCACAACAATTTGTAAAAGCATAGAAAAACTGTGACGCAAAGTTGAGAAGAAAGAACAAACAACAGCATGAAAAGCTGGTTGGTTTCTCTATATCTACCACACAAGAGAAAAACAGCAAAGAACTTAAGAAGATAAACAAGCAACGAAGGTAAGTTCACGTAATTATCGCCAGTTCCTATTTTGTGGTCACCATAGCCATCAAAAGCCCCCACATGAAGGTCTCATCTAAATTTGATTTTGGATGAGGAAATCAGTGGAACCTGTAGCTAAGATCAGTATTGATCCAGACCAACCCAAGAGCAAAGCTTCCATTTTTTTACACTACTTGCAATTTCCAACCAATTCCAAATTGATCTCTATTAGCAACCAAATAACCTCTACATTTCTACAATCCACACGAAAGAAAACAATCATACCAGGATAATTAAACGAAAGTAAGCCGGTACAGCCTTAGAGAAAGAAACAGCCTTGTTTAATGAGCTGATAAGATGTGTCGCTGCTGATTCTAAATCTAGTTCCTCTATAACTACATAACTCTTACTGCCACACTAGAGATGCACAACAAAAACACCAAAGAACTCAAGAAGACAATGGACAATTTTTGTTTCTAAGGTCACCTATCTATCATCGTTTTCAATTTGCGATTGCAATACTTATCACAATGAGCTAAAACTGATTCAAAAGTGACTAGGAGAGACTACTCATCAGTATTCAGCAAGACCAATCCAAGAGTAAAGCTTCGATTTTTTCTCAATTACTTGCAATTTCAAAACCAATTTCATAGATTCTCAATCAGCAATACTCTACATTTCTACAATCTTAAACCAAGACTAGTTGAAACGAAAGTGGCTTACAGGTACTACCGCAGAGGAAGAACCCGCCTTTGTCAAGGAGCTAATGAGATACTTCGCAGCTGAATCAAAACCTCTGGTAGAACGGAAGGAATCTAACCCTAGCTTCCTCGATTCATTACCAGACCAGGTTGCAGAAGAAGAAGACGAAGTGAAACGAAGAGTGTTGGAGATTGAGAAATGGTGCCTCTGAAGCAACCTTGTACTTCCACGAATCGTTTGCATTTCTCCGGCAAGAGGAATCGATCTAATGACCTCAAATATCCCAAATCTGTTTGGTTTCCAGAGATTGGCGGAGAACTGTGAACCAGCAAAACCCTTGAGAGGCTTCTCCAGGATTATTTTTTTCTTTTCTCTTTTTTCTTTATTGGTAATTTTCATTTAAACCCCTGAGTTTTTTTTATGCTAATAACAAATAAACCCATTCTTTCTTTTTTCTCCCTTTTCTTTTCTTCATTGGTAATTTTCATTAAAAACCCCTGAATATTTATGCTTACATGAAATACACCCTTTCTTTTTCATTTTGTTTCATGCGGTTAATGAACCATATGGAGACTAGAGGGTGATCAAATAGACAAATTATGTACTGAAATTATCTTGATATACCAATTTGATGGAGATGATAACACAGGAAAACCTTGTTGACAAAGAAGAAAAACCTTTGGAATATCACCATGCATGAAACAAAAATGTGTAGAAGAATTGATGGTTTCTCTCCAAATGTAGCCGATTAAGAAAACATAAGCTTGCTGGTAGTTCAATTCATAGGCAAGTAAGCTGTATTAGTTTCTTCATCATCATCAACAACAAGGATTTGTTTGGTTGCATCGTAATTCATAATCATCACGAAGTAATTTAGCAAGACCAAACTCTTTTGATCTCACATCGAAATACACTAATAACGGCACTTGTTTATCACTTTTAGACCAAGCTCCCTAATAAACAAAACCATTCATGCATAGCCCTTGAGTAAATTACAGGACAATGTGGATGCTTACATTAGATCATTCTCCATTTTGCTTTCTTCTTTTGAGCTCCATTTTACATTAGTAAGGTTTTTTCAAATCAATGTTATGAGAGACTGACATGTGTTTTTATTAATTTATTTATTTAAAAAAAAAATTTATATCTATTTTTCTCTTTCTAATAACTTTGACAATCAATTCCAACAATTTAATAGCTAATTCTAATGTTAATTAATTTCAATAAGTTGTAATATATATTAGCCATTGTTTTCTTTCTTTTTTTTGGTACCCATAAAAATATGATTCCAATTAAATGTGTTATTGTAAAATTTTAAACGGTTTGGAAAATATATATTTTATTTATTGAACCAAACAATATACCACACCAACAAAATTTAACAGCACATAAAAAAAAAATTGTGCAATTATTAAATTTAAACCCAACAATATACTATACCAAAAAAACTTAATAACACATAAAAAAACAATTAGTGCAATTAAAAAAATTTCTACTAGAGAAAATATTAACCAAAATTTTTGAAAGGAAAACCTATCCCACCACAAATTGTGAATCCATAAAAACTCTTTTTATTTTTATTATTCCTTCCAAACTGTAATCACGACGAGAAAAACATAATGCAATTCATCAATGAGTCGATGTGAAAGATAAAAATCACATCAAGACGATCAAAAGAGAGAAAAAAATACAATCAAGCAATAATTATTCTTTTTTTACGATTAAAAGTTCTAATAAAATATAAATAGAGATAAATTATAACATCTTTGTTGAGATGATGCATATGTTTTGGTAGAGGCGCCAAACGTACTACAACTTGTCGGATCAATAATTTTTTTTTACGAACGTGTTTGATGCAAGAATAAAGAAGACCAAACATATATCTTAAATTTATTTTACATTTTCAATAACTTACATAATAATATAATATACATCTCCTACAAGTGTATGTCAATTCAATGATTCGTATACAAATTTTTAGTAATGAACAATCTCTTTATTTTACATATAACATTGTATCAATAATTTGCTACAATTGTTTAGTTTTCAAACATAGATAATTATTTAGTATAAACATCAAAGTTTGTAATATTAAATTCATAAATAATCAATAAGTTAAAATATTATTGTATATTTTATAATTTTAATTTTTAAACTCACGGATCACGTGGACAATTTCTAGTATAAAAATATTATATACCATTGTTGAAGTATAAAAGAAAATATATATAAATTTTTTATTTTAAAAAATATAAATCCTATATATAATAGTTCACTTTCACTCACGACGCCTTGACACTTAAGCATCTTACTTTGACACATCACCTAATCAAACTATGACACCTAAGCCATTGGACGTGTACATTACTTCTATTTCCCCGAAAGAAAATGATTTCATGTTAATGAGCGTTCCAACTTCTTCTTCTTTATTAGGGTTATTATTTATTATAGTGATAATGCTTCCGCTGCTAAAGAATCCCACAAATCCATGGGTAAGATCTTTGGCTTAGCATTTGAAACATGGTGTAGTCACGGTGGTTTAGCATGTGATCGCCTATGTTACGGGTATTGGTCATGTGTCTCTCCTTTTGCATTTGTATTTCTTTCGAAAGTTTTTGTAGTTATATAAGGTTGGTGTATTCTAATGCCAGGCTTTTCGATTTACAAGAAAGAAGATTTTATTTTATATTATTCACCTGTGTAGATATTAGTCATGTGTCTCTCTTTGTCTCATACAAGAAGGAACAAAGAATTTACAAGAAGGTATTGGTCATGTGTCTCTGCTTTTGCATGTAATCGTATTACTTCAGGCTAGGTGTGTATGAATCATTTTTTATACGTAATACTAAAAAGAGCCAGTTTAAAAAGGCATTTAGTACATTACTACATTCAATAGACAATAGACACTACTACATTCAAACACCGAGTTTGGCTCTTGAAATACATGGCTCTTTGGTTTTCATTACTTGTCTTTTTAAAGTTATCAGTGCAATTAGAAATACATGGCTCTTTGGTTTAGTAATTCTGGCAGTAGGAGGCTTTCTCAAGGAATCAATGTAAGTGAAGGTGTATATTAACTTTTCAAAGAGTACGACACTAATGGATTTACACATCTCCATGGAGCTATCACTTTTTTTTTCTCAAGGTAGAGTTGTGTGTAAGATTAAGACCCAACACATTCAAACTTGGTTTACTATTAGAATGATAACACCAAGGTTAAGACCCATAGGGGATAATATATGTTGTTTAGAATGAGATCTTAATTGCTATATAGTTTACTATTAATTCACTTTCAAATTAGAAAAAACACAAAATACATTTTGAGCTCATAAAATAACTAAGAACAAAAACCCGCGCGTATGCGCGGATAATCACCTAGTAAAAGGTTTAACATTTTTGAAATTATCAAAACGTTACTTAATATTTGGAATTATATTAATTGATAACAAAAATTTGTTTGTTAAAGGTAATTGATAACGAAATTAGAATTGAATCATGATTTTCCTTTACTATGGGGATTTGGAATAGAAAGAAAAAAAAAACAGAATAAAGTTGGAAATGGTCTTAGTCGTCTAAAAGCTTTTGAAGGATTTTTTTTCCCTATAACTCGAAAACCATTTTCATGCGACTCTTGAGTCTTTTGCATGTGTTTGTCTTTGTCATTTTTTTCCACCTTTCATTTGCCAGCTAGTGATTAGTTTTGCTGCAGTCAAATATGATATCAAAGACCAATTCTTGTTTTTAATTGGTGTAATATTTTATTTATTTTTAGAAATAATTTTATAAAAACAAAAAATAACAGGTGGCCTACAAAAATTAAGGAACCAATCATGAGCGGCCAAATACATAAAAACCTCAAAAAATCAAACGGTGAATCAATCATGTGAACATAGAATTTGGTTGCATTTATAATGGAAGTAAACACGTAATTAACCAAAAAACGAATTGTGAAAGAATTTGTTAAACTACGAATATCCAACAACGTAAGAATCACATGTCACAACATGTTACTACTAATCAACAACAGCTGTTGATTATTCTTCACCGCCTAAAAGGGCTTCAACTTTTAATATCCGCCGAAATAAGTCATCAACTTTCTCTATCACCAAATAAATACCCACAATTGGCTTCCAACAAGGAAAACTTTGACCTCGTCACTAACATTGCTCTTCTGCCATTTGTGATTACAAGATATACACGTTTCTTAACCTCATGTTTAAGTTAAAATACTACTAATTTCATGGGTTTTATAATTATTCTCCGATTGATTTTACACGCATAAGTGTTTTTCATCGAGGCCGACATTATTACATTGGAAATGAGTTTCACTAATGCTTTAAGAAACCAAAAGAAATGGGGTCACTTTAGAAAATTGGAACGCTTGATAATTGAATGATTAACAACACTAATATTTCAAAGATTCATACTAAGAACAGAACAGCTACATGTTGTTGTTGAACTACGCAGCTGTTGAGAAGCGAATCAAAATTAATTTTGAAACCATTCACCAACCAGATGTTCAACATGATTACTTATATGAATTGATAACACTCAATACAAATTTCGATTTAGGCTTTTCACTTTTCAGATTTTGGCTTTGTTTTTATTAAGAAATCTAGTTTTGACGGCTTAGTACG